CGAAGATCGAAACAAGGGAGTCATTAAGCATCTCTGCCATTTCTAAGTATCCTGTTACTGTTTCTCCCTCTTCACTGAGCAATGGGCCTACCCTATCTTTGGTCTTCCTCTTGCTTATAATGTATTGATAAAAAGTCTTCTTGTTTCTCTTTATTCCCGTAGCTCATTTTGTGCCTTTGCCTTTCTAATCTTGCCCCTGCATTCCTGTGTCGTTTGCCTATATTCATCCTTTGTAATCTGTCCTAATTTCCATTTTTTATATGACTCCTTTTTATTTTTTAGATCATGCAAGATCTTGTGGTTAAGCCAAGGTGGTCTTTTGCCACATTTTCTATCTTTCCTAACCAGCGGAATAGCTTGCTTTTGGGCCCTTAATAGTGTCCCTTTGAAAAACTGCCAACTCTCCTCAGTCGTTTTTCCCCTCAGTCTTGATTCCCATGGGACCTTACCTATCAGCTCTCTGAGATTACCAAAATCCGCCTTCCTGAAATCCATTGTCTCTATTTTGCTGTACTCCCTTCTACCCTTCCTTAGAATTTCAAACTCTATGATTTCATGATCACTTTCACCCAATCTGCCTTCGAATTTCAAATTCTCAATGAGTTCCTCCCTATTTGTTAAAATCAAGTCTAGAACAGCTTCCCCCCCAGTAGCTTTTTCAACCTTCTGAAATAAAAAGTTGTCTGCAATGCAGTCCAAGAATTTGTTGGATAGTCTGTGCCCCGCTGTGTTATTTTCCCAACATATATTTGGATAGTTGAAGTCCCCCATCACTACCAAATCTTGGGCTTCGTTGCGCACTCCGGTGGTCAAAGCAAGTTCGATATAACGCGGTTTCACCTATAACACAGATTTTTTGACTCCCGAGGACAGCGTTATATCGGGGTAGAGGTGTATCTGGAAAGATCGCTCTTGACTTTTCAAAAAGTCTTTGAACACTGGGAAGTTTTCTAGAGGACAATATTTAAAAAGAATAAATGTGATGACTACAGCAATTGACTTTTAGCCTGTCACTGATCTCAGACAAAATGATGGAATGGCTTGCATGGGACTTGATTAATATAATCAAAACCATGGGTTTATGTACAATAGATTTTAATCAAACTATCTTTTTTGATGAGTTTACAAGATTGGTTGACAAAGGTGATAATGTTGATGTAATATACTTACACTTCTGTAAGGCATTTGACTCGATTCCACATTACAGAAACTAGAACAATACAAAATCAACCTGGCACACATTAAATGGGTTTAAAATTGGCACAAAGCGGCTGGGGGCAGGGAGGGGGAGGAGTAAGAGGATAGGTCACTGATACAGAGCAACCTGGATCACTTAGTAAACTAGGTGCAGGCAATCAATATGTTTTAAAACAGCTAAATGTAAAGTCATCCCTGTAGGAACAAAGAACATAGGCTATACTTACAGGATGGGAGCCTCTATTCTGGGAAGCTGCGAATCTGCTGCCTGAACTTCAAAAGGGATGCTGAAATGCTGGAGAGAGTTCAGAGAAAAGCCATGAGAACAGAACATAAGAATGGCCATACTGGGTCAGACCAAAGGTCCATCTAGCCCCATACCCTGTCTTCTGACAGTGGCCAATGCCCCAGAGTGAATGAACATAACAGGTAATCATCAAGTGATCCATCCCGTCGCCCATTCCAGCTTCTCGCAAACAGAGGCTAAGGACACCATCCCTGCCCATCCTGACTAGACTCATAGACTTTAAGGTCAGAAGGGACCATTATGATCAT